AAATGTCAAACTATAAGTTGGAAGAGCAAAAACCTTCAAGTAACTCAAAATTGTTAGTAAATACTTYAAGAAATAAATTTTTGGTATGGTTTAGTAAGAGCAACAATTTCTAAACTATGACAAAAATGTATTTCAAATTCCCAGACCACTGTAAAGTGGTTTTCTTTATCAAATGAAAATAGAAACTTACTGGYTCTTTCATAATTTGTTTACAYTCMTGTAYACTTCTGGTRCAACTCTCATATGAAGYCTTCCCTTCAATTAMACTTTTCAGWGGAGGAGAATGTTGAYCTTGTTGATCTTTCAAGCTTTCGTGCCTTGTGACTTTGACCTTTGGTACTTTCAGTTCCTTTCCTGAATGTAAAGTAGTAGATTCTGACTCTTTTGCTGGATTCTTGAAGATATCATGGCTTGAATGGCTYTTCTTTGGGGCTTTATTAAATAGTAAAGAGAAAGATCTCTTCTTTTCTACAATGCTTTCTATGTCTATATCAGATCTTTCTCTGCTCTGGTCAGATAAATCCTCGTCAAGTGAAGAACTATCACCCAAACAAAATGTTGCACTTCTTTTCCTAGGAGTTTGAGRTTTTCTAAGTAAAACTTGTGCATTTGTGTAAAAGTCTTTGGTAATTTTTGAAGTACCAGTACTTGATAWAACACCTTTCCTATTTTCAGCACTGTCTGTACTGGCATTTATTAAGTCTTTTCCTTTGCATTTAGTTGTTGTGTACATTTGTCTAGTTGCTGTCTTTTCTTTCTGGTCTTTGACTTTAAATGACTTTTCTGAAGTACTAATACTTGCTACAGAACTTCCTCTGCTTTCAGCATTATCTGTAATTGTAATTGAGTCTTTTCCATTGCTAGTTGTTGTTTCTATTTGTGTAGCTGCTGTCTTTTCTTTGCGGTCTTTGACTTCAAGCAAATTATCTGCTTTATCTTTCTCAAGATACATGTATCGTGCTGCAACTAACACAGCTAGTACAAATGCCAAAACCTTTAGGGAACAAATAAATCAAGATTATAAAAGGTTGCTGTACTTCATTATGATTAAAATATTTACTTATTTATCTCCCTACCTCTTCTGCATTAACAGCTAAAAACCTGAGAAAGTACAGACAATCTATTAGAATATTTAATTCATGAAAAGAAAGGAGACATGAAAAGGAGGGGAGGAAAGACAGATATGAGGGAATAATGAGTGGAAAATGGAAGGAGGGAAGGGAAAATGGGAATGAGAAATGAGAATTAGAAATAGAAAGAGAGTGAGAGTGAGAAATAAGTACATATGACAACAATTTTAGAAGGAGTATCAAGTGAAATATTTTAAAACYTCACCTTGACAGCTTATCATTAGCTTGTGTGTGGTTTTGTGCTTCAAGAGTTGCTGTTGGTCTCACCATGAGCCAGCTGTGAGCATGTACAAACATCAACCCTGCAGACTGAAAACCAAGGAATACATTACAAACCTTTCTCTGATATATAATCCCAACCAATCTTACAGTTCATAAAATGCTTACCATAATAACCTTGACATGCTGTAGCAAAGGATTAGATATATGTTCCTGTTCAACTACCATTAGGTTACTGGAAGGTTCAATTAACCAAGAAGGYTGACTTTGACCTCTGAAACACATCTGTAAGAAAGACATGTATTTTTCAYATGGATAATTCTATCAACATGGTTAACAGATTGTTGTATATTGTATTTCAAGATATTAAATGGTTGAAACTCAATACAKTGGTAAAACAATGACCAAATGCTCAAAAACAAGTTATAGGAAATTGTTGTACAGMTTGAGAAATTTTTGATAAACTGGTTGAATGGTCCTGCACAAGAGAATATTGAAGTCAAGTTCTTCTGAGTCTCATTTTTTGTCTTTTCTTTCATGTGTGTTTAGTCAAAATTTTTAAATATCTTGGCTATATAAAGATGCTAATAAAGGTATATTTTTATCGTTTCATACACACCTCTAAGAACAAGGACAAACATGCTGGTAAGAACGTCATGAACATAATATAGTGACTAAGAAGTGCCAGACAACCAAAGTAGCTTGCTGTTTCCARCCCTCCAACTCCTGAAAGACTCCCTACACCTATCACCAAGGCACCTACTARTGTATTCAGAGTAACTGACGGACCAAGGGTGGCAACACCTTGGGCAATTTTGGAATAAGCCTCTTCCTGGAAAATTTAAAGTTAAAATGTTATGGCATGGCATATTGTGTTGACTGCTACCATGGTTACATCGCTGACAGGGGAGGTTAGGTATTGAATGACTGAAGATCTGTTTACTTACATAAGAGGTAGATGAAAGTGCAAACTTTGCCAAGTCACCAACGGTAACAAAGTCACTAAGCAGACAAAAAAATGGTAGGGCTTCTCTAAGTACAGCRAACTCGCCACCAAATATGTTACCAACCACAGATGTATATACAGTAAATGAAAACACCAGAAAAATCCCAACAACACCTTTGTATAATGAAGAAAATACGCATTAGTGACTGATATTTTTGAGATATTTCATTCAGTGATCTAAGGAACACAACAGACAACATAAAAAATTGAAACATTCAAGATTTAATAAGAAATTGAGAAATAAATAAATTTAATACAGATGTTTTGATGACATTCAAGACTTAGTTACTATCTTGTGCAAGTGTTTCTAATGCTTATGAATAAATTGATAAAAAGGATCATACTGCCCATACCTAATAAGACAGAGATTCCTCCATGGATCAACTTCTTACATTGTAAATATAAACACAAAAGAGCAAGRAAATAGCTTGTCGCACTAATATGAACATGTATATTGGTTGGCAAGGCAATCTGAAAGAAATACATYATAACAACATTTGATAACACAATATCCTGTAATCAAATCTTGTGTGATTGAGTACACACTACATGCCTTCTAAATTGACAATGTTTTCTTTAAAAACTAAATGTCAACAATAATTTTGATAGGTTTTCAAATGAGCCATTAAGGAGATGACTTGGAAATTTCTAAATTTATCCATCATTTCCTTAATGCKCTGGAAGCAATTTKATATTGTGCTAATACTCTTAAAACCAGAAAATTGACAGCCATTAAGCGCTAAGCTGGAATCTAAAGTAGTTCCATAATGGCTTGGCAAGTCRTAAAATGCTGTGCTTTAATCTATGCATCATTACTATTATAAATATAGTATTGTATGCAAGTGATATTTTGTGGGTGACAAAGACTTTTTCTTGTAGTAAGATTTCATCCATTTTCAAGTCATGTTTCTTTAACTAAAGGTCTGTGGTTAGCTCATTAGCATGGTATGGAAACTACAACCAAATTAACAACTTAAAAAAATCAAAGGCGCTAATAGGTCAATGCAACAATAATTATGGTAACAAAAGCATAAGACAAAGAAATATCCAGATTCTTATGACATCAAAATAGATAAAATGGAWAAAAATGTTTCACACATTCACACAAAAGYTATATGGGAAAACTATTCAAAGAGATTTSTAATTTTTGAAGGGATGTTTTTGTTTACTTAAGTGTTGGAAATGGTTAAGAACAGTGTGAAAGGTAGCCAGCTGTGCTTGCACAGAAAGTGCCTTGTAGCTGGGAAAATTAGAAAAATATAAATTAGAGAGATGAAGGATGGAAAATATTATCTCTCTATAGTGAGTAGTTAACAAGTTACTCTTGTTCKAGAGGTTTCCTGTATCTCTTTCTTCTCTATGTGTGCAGAGAAGAAAAAAACATAGAAAACTCTGGAAATCAGATATTTAAGTTACATGTGTGTATGGAAAACACTTGTAAGTTACACAACGTAATAAAATATTATAAAATTCTGACATTATTCATACGAGTTTYTTGATTATAGTTTTAGACTTGAACTAAAATTTGCAAGCTATTAAAAACGAAATAACTTCCTTGTCCCAGGAATGCATACGTAGGCAAAAGCATACTTTATATGTACAAAGTCAACCAACCAACCTTGTCAGCTGGCGATGATACAACCGATCCTTCTGAAGCGTGTGTTGCGTCGTATATATTCAGTGTAAGAAGACATACTGTTCCTGTAATACACAATAATAACACTTCTACAGGATGTGATGCACAAAGATAGCCGTGTACGTAGAAAGGCCTTGATAAACTCCCTCTTTCCATGACAGTGTTTAGCAAACAACTATGTGGCTGGCTTTGACTAGGTAAGTGACGCAATCTATGTATCCCGGCGTTCACTACGTGCCGGCCGGAAATCATTCACACGTTGGATTGAAGGGATTTTTTATTTTTGTTAGAAAGATTTTTACACATTTTTTTTTACAAAATAGCAATAATAATAGCAATATATATTAATTATATCTAAATATCTTTACAAAAAGGAAAAGTTTCTATATATATTAAAAAGTAGATTACTGTAAAACTATAATCTTGCATAAAAATACTTGTAGAAGGCACTCTCCTACAATTTTCCGTCTTAGACATAGATTTTGATCATCAAAGAATTCCAGAGAAGAAGACAGAAGACTTGGTAGATGTAGACTGTTCGGGATCCCTTTGGTATGATGTCACGATTACCCATAAGTCATTATTTCACTGGTGATCGCGTGGTGAGCAAGAAGCTTCCTTATTTTCAAAGCCGAAGGTTGGTAAATGAAGTGCCATTTTAAGCTCTTCTGCACTACAATATTAACATTTTAAGTAAGCCACTTAAGCATAGATGTATATTCTCAATTTTTATCTRTGCAAATAGTGATTTTATATAGTATAACTTGAGAATTTTCGCGCCGTTTGGTCTCAGTTTCATGTTGTTGTGTTTTAAATTCTCTTTCCTGCTGGCAAGCATATGCTCTCTTTGTCCTACGTTTGTGTGCATTGTTTCCTTCGTTGCTTCGGTATGATCTCTTCAATCATCGTACCAATAATAATTTGGGTTGATATTCCATGTTTTAGAGTAAACATTGGAGATTTATTAAAGCAAACAAGTATGTCAAAAAGGCGTACATGTACCCTGCAGTTCTTTCCTAAAAAAACCCAAACGAATGAGTAAGACCCGCAAAGATATTAAATAAATAAGACGATTCCGATTTGTTTAGTAAAGTATATATGTTGATCCCTCTTATTCATAATGCAAACATTCTTTTTTTAAAGTAATCAAAGTCAAAAGTCAGATGTTTTCTCGCATTGGAAGAAATTTCCAACGGCAGTTCTTGTTGATTTTTTTCGGAAATGCTTGTCGAAAAAATTTTTTGTCTAAACTTTTACAAAAAAGCCACAAGCCGCATCAATTTTTAGTAGTTTATATTGAGTTTCTAGAGATTAATTTGTATCATTAACATGTTTTCAGGATTTGATTACAWATTTAGTGAAATGGAGGGTGGTCAAAATTACATGCCCCCAGATTCAAACCCACCACCTCCACAACARCAATATGTTCAACAATACAATGAAGGTGCATCATCTCAAGGTAAGGAAAACAGCTGTTTGCATCTCATTTCGATTTTTTGTTGTTTTCTTTTCTTTTTTAGGACTTCAAACTGTGTGATCAATCCAAGTTTCTGCATCTTATTTTTTTTACTGTAAATCTACTTGTTCATCTATCTTTTCTCTCATTTATAATAGGTAATCCAGGAGAACAAGGTGGTAGTTTGAAACGTTCTGCTGATGACGGAGACTACAATGGCAATAATAAGCGTTTTAAACATCAAAGCAATGATCAAGCTACAATTCGAATTCTTCTCCAGAGCAAGGTGAATGCTGGGACCATTAGAAATCATAGTATTATTAGGATGTATTATTTATCTACTATTTTTCCCTTGAAAATCATATCTAATTGATTAAGAATCTTCAATGTGAAGCCTGTAGTACATGTGTGAWTASTAAACCACGTAAAATTTACAAGCAAAGCTAATGCTAAATTATATTGTAATTTGTCTATTTTCTGTCATCTAATTAACAGTATTTCGCAKGTGTATTGTTTGCATTCWAYTCAATCCTKTCARKKKTTTYMWT